TTGGAAACCCTATACAGGGTTGCTATGCATCAGAACTGACTTGATGGCACTTAACAATAACAAACACATAGCCTGATTGCCAGTGAGCATGACAGCATGTCCTCTCCACTGTCACCCCCATGCCTGGGCTGTGAGGGGAGCAAGAAGACAACATAGCCCTCAGAGCAAGAGGTTACCCCAACATGGAGCTCTTCTCTCTGCTTCAGCCTCCTTCCCTCTACCAGTGAGCCAGCCCAGTCACCAGGGACCCTGGATCTCAGGTCCCCAGCTCCCAGAATCTGTCTCTTCCTGCATACACAGCCAAGGGCGCTATGCTCTTGGGAAGGTCATTCCCAACAGGCTCCAAAGCTGGGCCACCTGAGAGTGAGGCTGCAGGTAGTCCAAGGCCAAAGGATGCTTCTGAGAAGTTCTATGGGGATATAATTATGATCATAAAGAAGAAACCCTGAGAGAGGGCACCAGTCCCCCAGCCCACATGGCGCTTGGTACTTCATTGGACTAGTCTTGCCCTTCCATCTGAAGGCTGGTCTGGCCATTGTTTAAACATGACAATGGGTCTAAGAGAGAAGAAAGCTCTGGCACATCTGACTCATCAAGGTTGGAGCTGTATGTCATAATTGCTCAGCTCTGGAACCATCCATGCCCTGTGATTCTCCATTGCTGCCTACAGGCAAGAGAACTGGTTTGATCACCCCTGCCATCTGGCTCCACCCGCCTCTCCAAGAGAGCAGGCCTCTGCTGACTTCACAGAATGTGATGATGCCAAGAACACTAGACTGCAGGTGGCTGCCACTTTTGCTTATTTGTCACTAAGCTGGATGGAGATCATCACACCCATTTAACAGATGGAGTTTTAAGGCAGAGAACTGCTCACTGGCTTGGTCAGATTCAGTAGGAACCTGAGGTATATTCCAACTGTTCTGTCACCCTGCTAAGGTCTCTGACACCATTCTGGAAGCAGTTGAGAGGAGGTCTGGCAGTGCAGAGGTAAGGGAAGGGGAGGTTTTTCTGTCCTGAGCACCAGCAGATGGACCTGCTGAGCAGGTGGGGCCAGGCCACACCTAAGCCACCTCCAGCTTCCTTTGGGTCTGAACTCACTTCCTCCAGATGCCCTCAGGCCCTGCTGCCTCAATACCTACTCAGAGGTAATCCCAATGCCATGAGCTCTGTCCCAAGGCCAGATGATGCACCTACCCTGTCAGGATCCAGGGGCAGGGAGCACACAAGAGGACAGAGACCTTCTCTGGCCTATGTATGAGCTCTGCCTCTTGCTTCCAGTAATTGGTTCCTTGGGTATGAGCTGAAGAGGCAGGAAAAAAAGAGATCCTTTATGCTAACGGGGCTTGCTGGGATAATCCTCATCATGGGTGAAAATCCTGATTTCCTGGGAGGTTACAAGGTAGTCCAAAGCACAAGAGAAATCCACATGCTTCTTTGAAATTCTACTGGCATGTCGGTGTAGGTGCTGAGGGTGTTAGGCCTCAGCAAGGGATCATCTCTCCCCAGAAACCTCTGCGGTAGTGTCCTCTGTTCCTGGCCACCTCTCAGAGACTTCTGTTCAACATGAACCACACCCAACAGGCCAAGATGTGCTCTGTCCGGAGGGAAACAGAAACTGGAGTAGGGAGGAGGAAGGTGCACAGGGCTTGTTGCATCTTATAAGACCACCATGGAGGCTGGTCCTGACAGGAGGCCCATCTGGAGCCATCAGCCACTTTGGAGCCCTGCCTCGTCCCAGAGACAACATGTGAAGGGACTGCTTTGTCAGCCTCTCGGTGGCCAAAAGCCACACCTCTTCCTGAGCTCTTCTCCAGGGACCAGGGTCTAGGTCATGTCTTCTACACCCTCCACTGGCCCCAGAACACACAGAGCTTTGTTCATTTGTGGTAACAGTAATGCTCCTCAGGGATCATACTCCCTCACCAACAGCCCCATCACCCCCAACTCTTTATGGCATACATTGTGGAAAGACAGCAGGAGCCCTGGCCTCCTCCCAGGGGAAACAGCAGTCGCAGAAGCCCCTGCCACTGCCCCACACATGCCCCACACATGCCCCACACATGCCCCACACACGCGGACTCTCTCCATCCACTGGTAAAACGAACCACAGGGGCCAGGAGAGGCTGTACAACAAAGCCACAAGGCACAGAATCTGGAAAAAAAACCTGGTGTGGAGAGCTCTCTATTGAAAACAGAGTCCCAGAGCCCACTCGGCTCTCCCACCCACTCCCAGGGCCTTGCTGCCCACCCGCTCCTTGGCCTTGGGCCCCAGCTCAGTTCCATTCTGAGGTCCTCCTTGGCCACTAGTCATCACAGGGGACAGTTGCCTCCACGCCGCCCGCTCCAGGGCCTTGAGTCTACTCCACGGAGAGCCCTGTCCAGCTGTGGCCAGCCTCTAGGCCCCATGGCCCGGGACAGCCCTGGCTTTCCCGGAGAGAAGTTCTTGCTACAACCCAGCCCCCTCACGGCTCCAGCTCCCGGGAGAGGCGGGAGAGTTCCCGCTGGTTGTCGATGACCTTCAACTGCTGGACATAAGCCCAGGTGCTGGCTGGACTCCGGGTGCTCAGGGACTGCTCCGAGCCTGGCAGGGGGGAGAACAGTCAGGGGGGCAGTGACACCCCACTTTGTAGAACCCATTCCAGCCCCACCCACCACGGAGCCCTCCTATGAAAATGCCTATTCATACTTCATTGTCTTATTGTTGAGTTCTAAGAGTTATTTCTATATTCTGGATACAAGACCTTTCCCAGATATGTGAAAAAACAAACACAGAAAAAGAATATTTTTCTTGGAGCATAATACAATGGGGCTTCAAAAAGTTCATAGAAAAATGGAATTCAAAAGATAATGGAATTATCCCACAAACTTTTTGAAGGCCCCTTGTTTGTATCTGATAAAGCTTTTGTTTGTTTAAAAAAAAAAAGGGAAATAATTAAATTAAAGTTCAGTATAGTGGTTGCCTTGGGTTGGGAGAGGCAAGAGGACAGGAGAGGGGAGCACAATATAGGGAGATATGTGGATCTGTAGGATAAGCACTATACTGCTAACAACAAGGTCGGCGGTTTGAGTCCACCAGTCACTCCTTGGGAGAAAGATGAGGCTTTTGCTTCCATAAAGAGCACAGTCTCAGAAACTCTATACAGGGTCACTAGTTGTTTTGTTGTTAAGTGCTGTCCAGTCAGTTCCGACCCATAGTGATCCTGTATAGGATTTCCAAGGAGCGGCTGGTCATCTTAGAGCACCGACCTTGCAGATCAAACTTGACTTTGCAGTCCAGTACATTAACCCACAGCGCCACACCAGGCCTCTATATGTGTATGTTGTCGTTGTTGTTAAGTGCCATCGAGTCGATTCCGACTTATAGCCACCCTGTATAGGGTTTCCAAGGAGCAGCTGGTGAGTTTGAACCACCAACCTTGCAGTTCAAATGGCTTTGCAGTCTGGCGCATTAACACACAGCGCCACACCAGGACTCCATATTTATATGAGGAGGCTTCAAAAACTTTGTGGAAAAATGGAACTAAAAAAGAATGGAATTTTTCCATGAACTTTTTGAAGTCCCCTTGTATATATAAAGGGCCAACAATGACATGGGCTCTGGTTAACGATCATTTAACGGAAGTCCAATAATAAAAATAAATGACTCTGGAGAAAGAGTTTGGGTTTCAGTTCCATCATCAGTTAATTGTGTGGCCTTCAGCTAGTCACTTAAAGGCTCATCTTTATGTTGGGAGCATCACTATCGTCTGCCTCCTGCAGGTGTTAGCAACAACATGTCTGCAAAGTGTCCCGATACCCCTACTTACACGTGGAGATCCTCACAGCCTGGCTGTCCTCATGGAGGTGGGACACACGACTTCTGAGTGGTGAAAGAGGCACTGGGAAGGAGGACAGAAGGGAGTCAGGGCCAAGTCTTACAGAGGAAGCTGGGTGGGGGTCAGGAAGACCCAGCTGACCAGGCCTCCCCCTTGCCCAGCCTCACCATTACTGTGGCTTCGGCACTGGTGCAGCATCCGCACGGCTCTGGCCATCATTCGCTGTGGGCAACACACGGGCATGAGATCTGGCCTTGTCCTACCCTTATGGACAGCTGGGGATCTGCCCACCCCTTGAATGGGCTTCTCGGAGGGACTGCTGCTGTTAGGTGCCCTTGAGTCGATTTCAACTCATAGTGAATCCATGTGACAGAGCAGAACTGCCCATAGGGTTTGCTAGGCTATGATCTGAATGGGAAGCAGACCACTAAGGTTTTTCCCATGGAGTGGCTACTGGGGCCTTTCACCAGAGCTCCTCAGGACTAAGAGCTACAAGAGACACTCGCTCCAGCAGTCTCGGAGGTCCAGTGGAAACCAGGTAGTGAAAAGAAGAGGTCAGCTGACACAGGGCTTAGAGAGGAAGAGGGCTGAAAGGAGCTCTTGTTGAAGAGTAAGATATTTAAGGCTGTTACCTCAACAATCCTCAACAGAGACCATACCCTCCTATAGGCGATAGAGTCAGGCAGAGACCATTTTAAAAGAAGTATTCACAGCTCTATCATTACTAACAAGTTAGGCGATCTCTCAGTCCTTGAACTCACCATCTTCTCAAAGTTGATGAGATTCTCAACCAGTGTGTGGTTCCCCTCATGGATAAAGGTCATGTCTGCAAAGAGATGGAGTTTGCTCATTTGTCTCCAAATTCTTTTCCCCTCTTATAGCCCAAGCATGGTGAAGAGCCCACTCCACACTGCTCTCTTCCTCTCACTCCCCTCCAACCTCTGGAGAAACTGTCTTATATCCCATAGACCTCAAAGAGCTATTGTTGTTGTTAAGAGCATTCATGTCAGTTCCAACCAATAGAGACCCTGTATAGGGTTTCTGAGGAGTGGCTAGTGAGCTTGAACCGCCGATCTTGCGGTTCAAACCGACTTTGCAGTTTAGCGCATTAACCCACAGTGCCACACCAGGACTCCAGGCCTCAAAGAATAGGCCATCTAAAATAATCATTGTCTATAAGCACATCTTAACTCTTCTTCTAGCCTGTGAGCTCCTAATTCATCTTCGTGCTACCAATGCTATTGTAGCACATTGTAACCCCTCAAGTGATGTTGGATGGAATAGGTAGGTGAAGATGGAGGCAAGAAGGTAAGGGCTGATCCTATTACCTTTAAGAAGGAGGGGCATGAAGGGGATGATGGGAGGGGAGAGCTTGGTGAGGGCCAGTCTATATACTCGATGGTTCCATGAGGGATCCTGAGATGAAAGAAACCCCAGTCAAAGAGGAAGGACCCTGGACAGCATTACCCACCACAGACTACATACACAACCAAAGGCAGCTGATCTCCGTGCTCTGCGGAAGAGACTCAGAGCTGATCCTGTCTTTCCTCAACTTCAGATGGCCCCAAGGCAGCCAGTGTGGCAGGCATGGCAGGGTGGGGGAGTCACAAGCTGCAACTGCCCATAGCTTCCATGTGACTTCCTGACCTCTGATTAGCCCCCAAGGAAACTCCATAGCAATTAGTCACAGGGTCTTCCTGAAAATCACTCACTCTCTAACCCCACCCACTTCTCTCATTCCTCCCTCTCTCTGTGTCTCTCTTCCACCACTTGAGTCCCATGGGGCTCCCCACTGTTCAGAGGGGTAAACCATTTACAGGCCTATGAGGTGAGCATATTTCTCAAGAGCTCACAGGTGTTGGGAAAAGCACCTTCAGACTGGTCCATTCTTGGACAATGTCAAAGCCTCCAATTCCTCAACAGTTCCTAGGAATGGAAGGCCTCGTCTGGTCCATGAGCCCCTTGGGGCTCCTGATGGTTGCTCACAGGCCCTGGTGCGTAGTGGGTGCTTAGTGCCAGGGCCTGCTTCTTGAGGCCTCAGTAATAGAATCCAGTGTCCTCTGATGCATGCCTCCCCTCCCTACCAAAGACTCCAAAGTATACTACTGATCTTCACATATCCATATGCTTACCCCACGCCACACACCAAATGATATAATACACCATGCAACATCCATCACAAGGCTAACCACCCCATAACTCAGTCAACTCTCCAAACTCACAGCCAGAGGGAACTAGGCCTGAGCCAGAGTTGGGAACCCTGGCTGTAGCCAAGGACAGGTAGAGGAACAGCTGGGACCCCAGAGCCAGGGTTTCTAGTGGTCCTGCCAAGGCCCAGCACTCACCAATAACCTCTCCAGGGCGGAGTACAGCTTCCGGACCTTGTGGGGCAGCCGCTGTGGAAGGAGAGGTAGATGGGGCCCGCCACTGTTCTGGAAGCCCACCCCCAACCAGGACTCCCAGGACAGAGATGAGGGTTGATCCCGAATGACTTCCAGAGCACACCTACCTCCCAGGTGTGGGCCAGGCGACTGATGGCTGAATTGCTGAGGCCAAACATGATGGCAAAGAAGGAATTGAGATTCTTTTGTTCCTTGAGGCTGTGATAAGACCCAGGATCCTCAGACGAAGCAGTCACCCCCAGAGCACATCCCACCCTCCCTCAAGCCTAAAACCTAGGGTCCAGAGCAGGGCTGGCTGTAGGGAGGTGGGGAGGCAGATGCTCAACAGGACCAAAAAACAAAGGGGTTGGCAGGGATGGGGCACTCTAGTCACCCTGCCCGCCCTCCATCAGGCACTCACTGGGCAGCCAGCTTGATGAACTTCCTGAGCAGCTGAGCCCGCAGGCTGGGCACGGGGCAGAGACAGAGCTCTGTGGCCACCCAGTACTGCAGCTCGTTGAAGCGCCGCAGGAAGCGCTCCAGGTTGGCTGTGGTGACAGTCCTCAGATGCTGGGGGCCCAGCACGTAGTGGATCAGCTCCACCTGGGAGCAGGGGGAAGGGATCAGCACTGCCAGGCTGGCCCTCCCCGGCCTCTGGGCCCCTCCCCGGAGCCCTTGCTGGCTGGAGTCTCCCGCACCTGATGGATGCTGTGAAAGAGGTTCCAGTCGTGATCCGTCAGCTGCCCCGCCAGGTCCTTGGCACTCACCACGTCCAGTCCCTCGGCAGAGCCCATAGTGGGTCCCAGCTGCTCGGGATGTGGGGTCTGCAGGTGGGATGAACATTCAGGGGGCTGCCTGAGGAATCCAGGGAAAGGCATGGGGGGGGGGGCGTTCTGTGGGAGGAGGGCTGCGGGGAGCAGGGAGTTGAGGGGCTGAGGCAGCTGAGGATGAGGCTTTCCAAGGAGTCATCTCCTGACGGGTGCTGATTCTGGGACCCCTCTTGGAGTCTCCTGGTTCTTGGACAGGGCCTCCTGCATTTTCTCCATGGAGTCCCCACCCACTTCTACAACTGATGGGGGAATTGCCCCTTCAAAGTCAGCAGTAGCCAGGACCAAGTTCTCCCTCTTCTCCTCCCTGTGACCTCCTTGGACACCTGCCCTGACACCCTCAGCACACAGTTCCTCCCCATGGCCTGGCACCAGGCCTGCCCCTACCAGCTCGTGCACTTCCTGTGGGTTGACAACAAAAAGCCGCTCATTAAGCCCCAGGGATGTGGCCACACCACGGGCTTCGGGCTGCAGGCCAATGGCTTCTGAAAGACAGCAAAGGCTGTGCTGGGCGGGGCAGAGGGACCCTGCTTTAGAGGTCCAGGGGTCCCTTCTTCCAGTAGTAGGGCCGGGGTCCTGGCAGTTGCTCTGAATTCCCACACTGCCCCAGAGAACACAATGAGGAGGAAGAATTCTTAGTAAGACAGGTTGACCTCAGGAAGGGGTGAACCTCCCTGGGCCTCAGTTTCCTCCTCTGTGAAATGGAGACAATAACTTGCCCTGACTAAGTCACAATCACAGATTGATAGAAATACAGACTATGTGAATATGATGAAATCAACAGTCCTCTAACGGTGGGAAGTACCTTCCATGAGTCTTGTGAGCTGGGACTGTGTATCTGTATTTGAGTCCCCAGTCTCTAGACCAGCGCCTTCCAAAGTAAGGTATGCAAAACTACCCCTGAATCTAAGAACATACGTTAGCTCTTTAATCTCTTCTTTTTCTCCTCTCTTTTGTGTTTCTATGTTGTGTGTAGCTTTATAATGTGACAGTGTTAGTATTGTGGTCTATGTATATGACTTTAAAACAAATAGACACATGGTGAGGTTTTGTAATAAAATATTGTACTGACATGGGTGTGTATTACAGCAGTCTGGAAATCAATGGTCTAAACAGTGCTTGGTGCATAGTGTTGTTGTTAAACGCTCTTGAGTCGGTTCTGACCCATAGTGACCCTATATAGGGTTACTGAGGAGTGACTGGTGAGTTTGAACCGCCAATCTTGCTTTTCTTACAGTGCCACACCAGGACTCCTGGCACAAAACTGTTGCTGTTGTTAAGTGCTGTTAAATTAGTTCTGACTCATAGCGACCCTATATGGGGTTTCTAGGGAGCAACTGATGAGTTTGAACCACCAACCTTGTAGTTCAAACCAACCTTGTGATCAAGTGCTTATCCTGCAGCGCCACACCATGCACATAGTTGTTGTTAAGTGCCGTCAAGTCGATTCCGACTTAGCGGCCCTGTATAGGCACACGGTTGTTAAGCTATTACATGCCATTGAGGCGGTTCTGACTACTAGGAGCTCAATACTCACTTTGGACAGCTGCAACTCGCTGTATTACCACCAGAGGGCAATGTTTTCCACTGAGCGCATACAAGTACAGGTGACCTCATTTCTTCCTCCACTTCCAGAGGAAGGCATTTTTTAACTCCACCTCTTAATAGTCTCTGAATTCCGGAATTCCTGTCTATTTAGGACTCCAGCTATCAGGCCTGGGTTGGGTCCCCAAAGAGAACAGTGGTTTTTCATTTCCCCAAATCCCTGAAATATACTGCCATCATTGAGTCAATTTCACCTCAGAGTGACTTTGTAGAGGGTTTCTCAGACTAAATCTTTACCAGAGTAGACAACCTCATCTGTCTCCCACAGAGCAACTGCTAGGTTTGAACCTCCAACCTTGTGGCTAGCAGGTTGTGGCCTGCGCTACCAGGACTCCTTTTGGTTCCATATATACTTTTTGAAAGAGCATAATGTAGAGTTCATGATCTTGACCAATACTTGTAAAGCACTGTGAATAGACACAATCTGTCTCCTAGAAATGCTAACCATCGTTCATCTAGATGAAGATAATGATCGTGTCCCTTCAAAGGATCTGGACATGAATGTGAGAGGCACCATCCCTGGGAGCTACCCTGCCCAGAGACACAACTCACTGCCTGCAGAGTTGACCTTCACCAGCACCTGTCCTTTGGTCCAGCCATCCTCCTGCGCTAATGCGGCCATCACCTCTCTCACCGAGGCTGTCACAGGCAGCTGCAGGCTCAGCACCGAGTGGTCAGGCCGGCAAATGTCGTAGGGGACTGGAGAGGAGGACAGGGTTGAGCTGTGGGTGGGTCTCCCCCACCCTGGGGAAGAAGGGCATGAAGTAGAACTGCAGAGAGGGGGGCGGGCAGGCCCTGAGCCTGGCAAGGTGGTGGGCATGAGTGCAGAAGGCAGACTGCCTGGCAGCCTGGGACAGAGCCCCATACCACCCTTGGGACAAGAGCACCGAGGTCAAGATGGAGCACAGCACACAGAGACGGTTCTGCCACCCTGGCTTGGGCCACCAACCTTTGTCTCCAACTCGGATGGAACAGTTGTTGGAGAGGGGCTCATCCTGGGTGGGGAGCCAAGCAGGCACATTCCGGGCCTGGAGGGAGAGAAAGTAATGCCTGGAGAATACAAAAGGAGCACATATAGAGTGGGGACAGTGAGGGCCCTTTGTGACCAGGAATAGGGGATGTAGCAGCATGCAGCCCAGCAGAGGGCTTAGCCCTCACTTAGCCACATTAGCCCTCATTAGCCTGAAATCCAGGTAAGGCAGCCCAGTGGGGCCAAGGCTCTAGGAGAAGAGACTGAACAGGTGTGAGGGTGGAGCTTGGTGTGTGTATGTATCCTCTCTGCCCAGCAGGCCCAGAGCTGTTCCAAAAAGAACACAGTGTAGCTCCTGACCTGCTTCTCCTTTCCTTTCTCTCCATCCAACTACCAACTGCTAGAGGCCAGCAGGTCCTGAGTTTCTAAATAGCCTCAGCAGCCCTTTGACATAAACACTATATTAGTATTCCTGTTTTAAGATGAAATCGTGAGATAAAAGTGGCTACGTACCATGCCCAAGGCCACGTAGCTGCTAAGTGACAGAGCTGGGGTCCTAACCTGCTTCTCCCTCTTTGCTCTCATCCACCAAAGACTCAACTGGGTCAACTGCCCTATTAAAGCCCACAGCCCTTTCTCAGTGGACTCGGACCACAGTCAAACCTTTCCTGGTGGAACAGCTCCAGCTGGGCAAAACCCCAACAAAACTCCATGCCATCAAGTCAATTCTGACTCACAGCGACCCTGCAGGACACAGCAGAACCGCTCCATAGGATTTTCAAGACTGCAAATCTTTAGGGCAGTAGACAACCTCCAACAGAGTAGCTGGTGGGCTTGAACCCCTGACCTGTAACCTGATGCTTAACCCACTGTGCCACCAGAGCTCCTTTAGCTGGGCAAAGGTCTCCAAAATACAGGATCTTCATCCCGCCCTGACTGCTTTTTCCAGGACTAGCACTGACTGTCGTCCTCCTCCCAGCTCAACTGTGCAGATCCTCCAGGGCTGACCTGGGTCTGACCTTGGTCCTTTGTTCTCACCTAGATTTCCCTTCATGGACTCACAGCCACCTGCCTGGAAATGACTCTCAGAACCAGTACTGAATGCACTTCCAAATCTTGGTCTCAATTGCCTCTGAAATCCTCCCACATCCGTGAGCCATCACCCTAAACACAACATGAGATCTCCTAATCTTGCTGCCCAGACACTCCTCCTCTCAGCAGTTCTCCTGGCTCCCACTGCCTCCCCACAGTATGCCACCTTGGTCTGTGGAGTCTACCTTGAAATGGGTCTCCCAAGGCCTTCTCCCCCACATGCCAACACACAGTTCCGCCTCTCTGTAAAGCCTCACACTTTATCTATTACAATAGCCCAACTGTTCTGTTGCCTCTGGTCTCCTCCTCCTCCTCCAGTCTGACTGACAAGGCCCAGATTAAGCGTCCTTCCAGGCTTCCGTGGCTATCACTGTCTGCTGGGTAAACCCAGACTCTTTAGCTGGTCTATTCAAAACACAAATCAGGTTGTGGTGACCCTTGGTTTAGACATCTTCAGTGACTATTACTGCTCTTAGGTTGGCAATCAAACCCCTCACCATAGTTCTTACCAGGAGTCCAGCATGCTCTGGGGACTGTTATCTGACTCTCCCTCCTCCAGGGCTCTGAGCAGGCTGGCTCCCTCCCACTCAGGCCAGGGGCACACGCTGCTGACCTTTGACTCCTCAATCTATAGCTGTTAGCCCCAGAAGTCCACTCCCAGAGGACTCTTTTCCTGCGTCAGCTCTCCCCTTCTCTGCCTTCAGAGACCACTGCCTTTGTCATTGCTGTTGTTGTTAAGGGCCATCAAGTCGATTCCGACTCAAAGCAAGGGTTTGAGGAGAGAGTGGTGGGTTTGAACCGCCGACCTTGTGATTCAAGTCGATCTTGCGGTCCTGTGATTATCCCATAGCGCCATGCCAGGACTCCTTGTCTTTGGTATTAGGGAGCATGATTTTGTTGGATGGCTTCACTGTAAGCCCACAAGGGCAGGGCAGCACTGGCGTCACTGGAGTACCATGCCTGGACCCTAAAGGCAGCTCAGCACAGGCTCCTGAGCATCGGCTGTGTGCTGAGGAGAGCATGCATACTAGGGAAGAAGAGGATAAGGTACCTCGCTTGGGCAGCCAGCATTCCAGTGGATGGGACAGGTCATAACAGACATAGAGTCAAGTAGGCAAACAGACCAAGAAGGTGACTCCCCAAGGTGATGGTGTTTTGAAGAAACTCACAGAGTACTCCTTGAAGGGGAAGGGCAAAGGATTGAGGGGGGGGTGGCCTGGATAGGGAGGTCTCAGGGGCCTCTCTGAGAATCCAAGATCTGGGCTAAGATCAAAATGATGATAAAGACCCAGTCAAAAAGCTAGAGAAAGCAAGTTCCAAGTTGGGGGTGGGAGCAGGTGTAAAGAAAGGTCTATAAGCTTCGCCTATAAGAGTACTAGTAGCGTAGTGGTTACGAATCGGGCTGCGAACCTTAAGGTCAGAGGTTCGAAACTAACAGCTGCTCCGCGGGAGAAAGATCAGGCTTTCTACTTCCGTAAAGATTTACACCCTCGGAAACCCTGTACAGGGTCGCTATAGGTCGGAACCGACTCAACGGCACTTAACAACAACAACAACAACATAGAAAAGAAGCAGTCTGAAAGACTTTGAATATGGTAATATGGTGGCGAACTGGGAGAAGACAGCTGGCTCAGAGAGTCTCAAGGCCAGGCTAAGGCAGCATTTGGGTTTTATCCTCAACACAACACATCCCCAAACCAGCCCCAACCTACCTTTCTAGTTCCTTCTCCCACCATTTCTCAACCAAATCACCCTACCTCTGCTCCTTTGTACAACCTGGCTCCACCATCAGCTCCCTGTTGGGAAGGGCCCCCACCACCTCTGATACCAGGGGAGGGGCCTGGCCTGCTTTGGGATCCAGAACCCTGGCCACTGGGACCCTTCATGTCTTACAGACACCATCCCTGGTTAGTGGTGAGAACAAATGACCTCTCAAATCCAAGACAAGTCCTTCGAGGTAGGGATGGAAGGTGACACCTGGGACCTTTGTCTGTCCTCTTCAGAGCCTCAGAATTCCTATCCTCAGACCCAAGGTGTGTGTCTGTGTCTGGGGAGTCTTCCCATCGCAGCCCCCAGAGGTGGGAGCTGAAGCCTGCTGGGCCAGACAGTCCAGGAGGAGCAGAGAGAACAAGTCTGGGTTTGGGCAGAGGTGCAAGAAGCTGACTCGGGCAGATACCTTCATCTGAGGAGATGCATTTCCACAGCCGTTTTCCAACCTGTGGGACAGGTGAGAGGGAGGTGAGACAAGGCCATGTATCCACAAGTGCAGAAAAATATATGCAGGGTCAGGAGCAGGGAAGTGCCATAGCTCTGGGTTTCATTCTGCCCTGACCAGAGGCACCATACATCACAAAGGGTGGGCTGCAAACCAGGGGCTGGACCTGAGATGCAGTGGTTTTCCCAGGCCAACAGGGAAGGGACAAAAATCCAAGGGAGAGACTGAATAAGGGCTTCAGCTCCCTGAACCTCAGTTTCCTACCCAGGGAAGTCTAGTCAGGTGAAGGTAAACTCTAAGAAGCTGACTGGGTGGGGCTGGCAGGACCCGGCGCAGAGGGCATGCAGTAATAAACCTGGGCGGGACGGAGGAAGTGAGAAGGGCAGGTGCACTCAGAATGTGAGTGTGAACAAGTGGATGATGACATGATGTATGGCAACGGACAAAGCATGACGCAAGCGGCTGGATAAGAACAGCTCATGGAACTAAGTGGGAAGAGAAAATGAAACGCCAGCAGTCCCAGCCAGCATTCGATGGTGATTTCCGTTTGTGCTAAGCACTTCCGGTGCTGTGTTTAATCCTCACGGTGAGACAGCTGCATGCCCTGATTTACAAACAGAGCACAAAGCCCTGAAAGAGGGTAGAATGAACTCAGGGTCCCTCGCCTCATGAGGTACAGCCTGGGTGTAAAGTCAGGTGTTTGAGTCCAGCTCTGTGCTTTTGATCCCAGCTATCTTGCCTATCAGCAAATCAATAAGCAGATCATCACCTGTGGTGTCTCCGCCTCTCCGGCCACTGCTCCTTCAGCAGGTTGCTTAGCCGGGCATCCCTGCTCACCAGGTCTGAGAGTTTCTGTGAGGAGTCAAGAGTCACTGAACTGGCTGTAGCCTCATCCACCCCGGGCAACTGATCCAGCCCTGCCTCCCTACCAGGTACCTGGAAAAAGCTGGTGGCCACAGGGTCAGTGCGGAGCATGGGGCCGTACAGGGCCACCCACTGGCTGACCAACCGCAGGATCTGCTGCCTCTTGTTGCAGACGTAGGTGCTGCGTTCCTGCTCATTGCCCCCCGCAGGCACCGCATGGAAGGTGGACACCAGTCAAGGAAACCACAACACCCACGTGGAGTAGAGAAGGGGCAGGGCACAGAGCGCCCACCAACAAACTGAGGTAGCCTGAGGCTGAGGCATCAGAGGCTTCGTCCAAGTCGTGTGGATGGAGACCCCGCCTCCCTGCACCACACACCATCCTATCCCCACACATGACCCCCTCCACCCTGGGGCTTGGAGGATATTGGTGCAGGAGGGAGGCACAGAGCTGGGTGCTGGGCATGAAGACACTGTGGGTCAGGAGGAAGTCGCTAAGGAACGTTTCTGTAGGGCAGGGTGGGAACAGGAGATGTTTTCAGAGGCCAAGGTGCTTGAGCACAAGCTGGGATATTCCTTCCCCCAAGTCCACCATGGCAAGGTGCCAGCGATCCCTCCCTAAGACAAGCTGTATGGTCAATGCAGCACCTGATGAGCTCAGATGTAGGGTGCCTGGCCCTGTCCCAGGTGTGCTGACCACCCGATGAGTCAATGTGGGTAGAAGGTGAGCATGAAAGCAGGCAGGGTGTCTCCTGCCCCTACCTGTTGGGTCATGAGCACTGGAGTCGGGCTGCATGGCCTCCAGCAGTAGTTCTAAGATCTTCTCTGGGGTGCCAGACATGACCGTATACCTAGCAGAAACGGCCAAGGGATAACATTGGTCCACTCTGCCTGCTCCTCAACTTTGAGCAACCATCAATCCTATCACACTCCCCATCTGCTTGTCCTGGGCCATCTGGGGGTGCATCTTAGTGCTTGATGCCTCTCCACCCCCAGGTAGCCAGAGGGTAGGGGAAAAGGGAGGAGAGACTGAGAAATGGAAGGTGAGAAGGTGGGCAAGAGGGCAGGTGTGGAGAGGAGGATGGTGGGTGTGTTACCGGTTCCGGCCTGGGGTTGGAAGGTGAGAAGGGCCCGTGCCCTGAGAAGCTCTCTCCAGCACCAGCACCACTTTACCGTGCTCCTCCAGCCTCATGGTCTTGGCTTCCACATCCTGGAGAACAAGCCATCCAGCGGTCAACATTCACGGTGACTCCTCCACATGTGAGGACCTCTCCTCTCACTTCCACCCTTCAAGACTCTGAGATCCACAGGGTCCCACAGCCCCTCTCTCACTCCATTCAACATCCATGACTTTGGATCCGCTGCCCACAGTCCTCCACCACAACCCTCAGATGCCCATGCCCCTCCTCTACCTCTTTCCCTGTCTGCCTTTCCTCCATGGGTCCCACCTGCCATCATCTTCCCTTCCCTGACACCACTCTGCAAGCCCCTCACTCCCCTGGTCCTGAGTCGCTGGTCTCCTTCTCCCTGCTCAGCAGGCTTCATCTCCTCACACATCTAGGTGGTGATCCCAGCCCACCTGTCACATCTAAACTTCCCCATTTCCTACCTCCTTTCTTCTTCACAAGCTTTCTGGTCCTGCACCTTGCCCCGTGTCCTATGTCCCCAGCTCTGCCACCCCAGCAGTGTCACCTTGATGATGCGGTTGAAGTCCTGCTTGTCCACTCGGAGGAAATGACAGTTGTCTTCTCGTAGGATGATGGTGGCTGCCCGGGGTGCATCATTCACCAGAGCCAGCTGCCCAAAGTCGTCTCCTTCATGCAGAGTGGTCACCAACCCCTGCAGCCAGGCCCTCCGTCAGGACCCAGTCCAGTGGGACAGACCCAGGGCAGGAGGAGAACTAGGCATGGACCCTGGGGGCTCGAAGAGGGGGGGGCCGAGGGCGCACCTTGCCATGGGTCACCACGTTGACGGATCCTTTCCAGATAATGTACCATGAGGTGCCCTTGTCCCCCTGGCTGAACACTGAAAGAGGTAGAGGTCAGGCGTGGTCCCCAGTATCACCTCCCCATCTCTCTGTGGCCTCTGCCCACAGCCAGGGCCCTCACGCTCAGCTCCCAAGCCCCTGCCTGACTTACACACAGTCCCCGCCTTGCTGTGTGGCTCAAAGAGCAGAACTGCTGCTAACTCCCGCTTCACCTGTGGGGCAAAAGAGAGCAGGTCAGCGGCGGCCATTCAAATGAACAGGGACCAGGTTAGGAATCAGGAGGTTAGGGCCAGTGTGAGGTGGATAGAGAGGTGGCGAGCTCAGGCATTTGTCACTGGGACGTGTCACCAGGGTTCAGCAGGAGATGAAGAGTCAGGGAGATGGGCTAAAAGAGGCAGAAGCGTTTTCAGACGGGTGCTGGGGGGGCAAGAACTGAGACAGAGAATGCTGAGCCATAGAGGAACTGGCATCTAGCTCAGCAGCTGTGAGGAGTCCCCTGGCCAGGTGGCAGTGGGCAAGGCAGGAACTGACCGAATTGGAGAGGTGGGCCACGGCCTTGATGTGTAGCAGTTCCTCGAAGATGAGGTCCAGCTCCTCGTCTGTGCGCTGACCTGGGCTGTGGGCACAGGAAGGACACTTAGAGGAGGGATGGGCAACCAGTCCTGAATTGTGGGCCCTGGGCCTCCCCACCCCTAACTTCAGCGAGCACGCAGCACGTGCCGGACCTTGTGCTGAGTGCTGTCACGCATTATTTCATTCTGCCCTCATAATAACACTATGACGTGGGGGGCTGCTATCCTCACAGCATAAAAGAGGAAGCTACCAACATGGGCAGGTCCAAGCTCACACAGTCGTAGCTGGCAGACCTGGAATTTGACCCCAGACCTGCCTCAGTGAAAGTCTCCCCAGAGATCAGCACCCTCATATACAGAGCAAGAGACAGGCTTGGCAGAGGTGGGGATGGCTCGAGTTCATGGCAGAATGAAGACCAGAGCTCAGGTCTGCTGACCCTGCCAGGTTACCTTCCTTCAGGAAGAAGCAAGGGATAACCTCCCCACCCCACCCCCACTGGAGGAAACAGAATGCTGTGTAGGACCTGGATTGGGGATGCAGGGCCCCCAACTCACGGTTTTCGAAGGGCCACCGTGAGCAAGGCATCAGGTCCCCGTTGTGAGAGCAGAGCCATAGCCTCCACCAGCTCCTCCCCCATCTCATGGGCTTTTACAGGCTCTGGCTCCGGTCCGGGAAAACGGTAGAATTGGGCATCTCGGTCCTGGAAGGTCCAGTCATGTTTCACTGTGGGGTAGAGGCCCAGGCATGAGGAGTTGAGAAGTTGAGGCCATGCAGTTATAGGGCCCCATTGATGCCCGTGCCCTAGTACTGCCCCTCCTGTCCTCAGCCCTGCTCAGCCCTGAGTGACCGGCTCACCGTGGCAGAGGGCACCTTCATCCAGTAGCACCTGGTAGATTCCCACAGCCTGGCTTCGGGAATGCACCCCAAGTCCCAAGGCAAAGATCCCATCCACCAGCTCCCGGCCAGAGCAGCACTGCCTAGGAGACGCGGAGGGGGAATCCAATGGAAGGAGGGTGGTGGGGAGGGGAGAGGGAAGAGCTCCCCTTCAGGAAGGCATCTTCTTAGACCCACCCAATCCCAGATCTTCTGTTCAAAGCAGGGCTAGATCCCAGATGCCTGGAATAGAGAGGGAAGGGAGAGAAAATGAAATGGTGAAGTGGGCAAGGAGGCAGACGGGAGCTCCACTCACCGGTAGAGCCTGAGGTGATACTTCCGGTCACGGATGAGGTTGGGGCAGGTGGCCAGGAGATGACGGTGAAGCTGCTTGCCAGCCCTGAGCACTCGCTCTGTGGAGGCCTTTGAGAGAAGGGGACACAGCTGACTCCGGTCCTGAACCCTGACCCAGCCCCACTCCAAGTCACCCTTCCCTGGGCCATACTTGCTCCAGACTCATGCTGAAATCCAGTGACTCCTCGCTGTCTGTGAGCGGCGTCTGAGGGCAATGGGAGAAAGTCTGCACTTTGGCCCACACCCTCCCCTCACTCTCACCCTTGGCCCAACACCCAACTCCAAATGCACCCAAGCAGCCATCATCCAGCACATAAACATTCACTGAGCATTCCTGAGCATCAGACATCACCTTGTCCCCACCTTGCCATCCCAATCTCTACCCAGACCCAAATACTGTACCACCTCAGATGAGCACCTTGAGACCCATACTCTACCTACTCAAGGTCCAGGTGTACCTTGACTCCCAGGTAAGCAGTAGCAGAGATGAGAGTTGGAGCTTGAAGAGATACAAAGATCTGTGAAAGGCCAGGAAGAAAGCAGCGAGAAGTCTGGGAACGCCTGCCCCTGGGCTGGGTGACACAGCCTGATCCTGAGCCAGGTTCCCAACCACAGACCATGCCTTCTGTGGGCTGCAGTCTGGCCTGGATTAAAATACAAACTCCTAGAGCCACGCTCCTGGCTTCTACCATACTCCTGTTAACAGAGCAAGCTTGAACAAATGACTTAACTTCTCCCTGCCTTTGTTACCTTATCTATAAAATGGGGATAACGAAAAACTAATAGTACCTACTCATGAGCTTCTTGAAGGATTCTGTGAGTTAATATATATCAACTGCTTAAAATATTGCCTGGCACAAGCAGTCCCTGGGTTATGAACGTTGACTTATACACACTCATAATTATGAAACAGCACTGACAAAGCCTGTCATAATTTTGAGGTACATACAATGGTTTGTAATAACAAATGAGTGGTACTTCACAAGGAACATCGAAGCATTATTATCATTACTATAGTCTGTTAAAGATGTTTTAGTGTATCTGGAAATAGTACTTTAATTTTTTTTTTTGCATAGAAAAGTACACTACATGCTACCTACTAAGACAAACATTTGACTAACTGATGAAAGATGCATACCATACTTAACTATCCCTTCCAATTTATGGACGAATTTGACTGAGAGACAGATTTAGGAATAAAACTTGGTTTGTGTTCCTTGTTTGTAATCCAGGGGACTGTCCGTGCATGTTAGCTATATTATTATTCATCTGGGAAGCATAGGGTGGGGCACTTGCTGGAAGGCTCTTTTCAGCTTGTCCATAACCTTGTAAGAGTGAATAAGGCCTTGGCAGCACATAGATGACTCAGGAAGAGGGGTTTATGGTAGAAACCTTGCTATCATCCTGGACACCTGGTTCATGTGTACCCTGGAAGGTCACCCTTGGAAGTTCCTTAGACCCTTCTTTACCTGTCACCTAAGGTCTAGAATTTTCAGCTCTCTGGACAGGATGCCCTACTCTCTATGAGCCTTTGCAAGGGCAGAGCACTTTACAGAGCATGTCCACCTCTGTGATTTCCTCCTATATAAGAAATAGGATTAGATGTGAAATGTCAGGACATATATTATTTGGCCTCTTTAACTTCTTGTTGGTAAGTGCCATTGAGTCGATTCAGACTCGTAACAACCCTGTATAAAGTAGAGGAAATAAAAGTCTGGAAGTAAACTGTTCTGCTCAGTTAACTCAGTCACACATTCCTGAGACAACTAGACACTATGGATAAACTCAAGTTCCTACCCAGACACGCTCAAATTCTTGGTCTCACTCCACCCACCGCACCTGCCCATTTCCCTTTCCTCTCTTTGCCTCTCATTAGCAAGCTCTCTCTTACTCTCCCATCTGCCTTCAGGTTCCTGAACAGGGCCTGGACTGGGAGCTGGGGCACAACCAGTCCTGAGGCCAGAGGCCCACTGCTAGTCCAGGCAGGGCCCTGGGTATGAGCATCTTCCGGCTAGATGCCCAGGCAGAAGCCTGAGGCTTGGCGTGCCTAGGCGTCTGGCCCAGGACTGGGCGGAAGTCACTAGGTGTCCCAAGGGTCCCCCTGCCCGGGTCACGGGGCCCAGTCCAGTGCCAGCCACAGAGCCCTGGAGACTTAACGACAGGAAATAAGGAGGAGGTGGAGCCAAGGAAGGGAGGAAGGGCAGAAATGCTGCCCCGCCAGGTCCCTGTGCAGGGACAAACAGTGCCTGAGTTCTAATAAGTTGTTGTTCATGTCCAAGTGCCCAGGTGGCTCCAGTCCCTGCCCCAACTCACTTTGGTGCCCACAACCCAGGCTCCAGCTCCCTTCCTGTGTTATTCTGACCCCAGAGGGCACATCAGGAGGGGCGGTGCCAGGTCATGTGGCCTGGCTGGTCATGACCCAGATCCACAGGCCTGATTTAAGCCATTTCCTGTCTACCTAGGGATGAGCAGAAGGGCCAGATGATGGGGGTGCTGGCCCCTCAGAGGGGAGAAGTGGGCTTTGGAGACCTCCCTCTCATTCTACCAAAGAAAGCAGAGGTGAAGCAACTCACCAAGACTCACAGAACTCTTCAGAAATGTAAGATTCCACTACCTAACACTGCTACCCAGGCTGAGCCTGGAAGCAGGTATTTTTATCTGATTTCACAGATAGAGAAAAGGAAGCTTAGAGGTTATATAAACTGCCAGAACAGCTGGTAAATAGGGGCACTAGGATTCACACCTACGTGGTGTCATTTCTAAAGGCTTAGCCACTCTACCCTACCACCTCATGTTTCTATCTATCTACCCCATGTTTCTCCCACTTGGGGACCTTAGAGATATTCTGTCTTTGAGAGTGTTCTATGGGTAAATACATTTGGGAAACATGGGGTGAAACAAAGTTCAATAAATTTCTTCAGTTAGGAAATGAAAACTTATTTATACCATATACCTCCTAGGAACTCCTTAAGCACCCTCAGCCTAGAGGCCCTCAGATATCATGCGCTTGGGACTTTCCAAGGAAGGGGTGGGGCACGTGTTATTCATAAGCAGTGGTCAAGTGGGTAGGCTCTGCAGCCAGACACCTGGGTTCAAAAGCCAGCTGTTTGTGTGACAGAGGGTTTCAGTTTTCTCATCTGTAAAATGGGGTTGGTAATAATAATACCCATCCCATAGGGTTATTATGAAGAGCACTTGACACAATGGCTGGCTCATGGTGACTGCTTAGTAAATGTAAGAAACTTGATCAAACTTGATTGTTTCATGATGGGCACCTATTACCCAGATTCAGAGCAAGAAATGCCATACTACCCACTACCAAGTCCCTGATTTGATGATCGCAAGTGTTTAGCTTAGGCGTTCTCAGTTGGGAAGAAGAAGCAAGTGGGAGGAGTTGGGCTGAAGGCCTTAGGCCACCTCGATGTCTCATCCCAGGACAGGAAGGACTCAAGAGTGGAAGAGGAGCTGCCCGCTCCCCTGGCACCAGTGCTGTGGCCTGCCCTACCCACCCTCCCCTGTCGCTGTCGGAGCCCAGCCAGACAGCCACGTGGGGACCTGTCAGACCAGTTCCCTTGGGTCTTGGTTGAGGGTTGTGTGTGGTGGGACAGGGGAGTGGGTGATTCCTTGAGGTGGCAGTGTTGTTACCTGCAGCAAGAGAGAAGTATGGCATGGTGGTGGTGAACTTGGACTCTTCAGCTAGCTTGTCTGATATCCAAGCCCAGGTTTGCCACCTAGCAGCTGTGAAACCAAGAACCTGCCACTTAATCTCTGTGCCTCTATTGCTCAGCTATAAAATGGGCATGATGACATGAGTATTTATCTCATAGGACTGTTAAGAGGATTATGCAATGTGATAAAGGCAAAGTGTGCTCAATAGAGCCTGGGACAAAGACTAGTCATAACTATTCTTTGGACTGACAAGATGAAAGCACATTTTCTGAGTTGACAACAGGAACATCTCCCCAACACTGGTACTTAGAAAGCAGGATCCCAGGCTTCCCATGGCTAGTAGGACCCATGAGAGATTACCCTGGTCTTCTCGACACCAGACAGATTAACCCTTCTGTTAGCCCACAGACACCAGACAAGAGCTCATCTCCCTGTTATATTTTCCAAAGCAGACAATGCTCTTCCATCCCCTATCAGTGCCATCTATGCCACAGTTGGTAAGTCCTTTCTGTATCTAACCACAAGCCCTCCTGCTATATATAGCCTGGTACCATTTTCTCTTGTCCTGGTTTAGGTAGGAATAGACAGAGCTCTTTTCAGACCTCAGGCTGATCATTTTTTCCTTGACTTTCGATAAAGAAGATATAGCCTGAATGTGTGTGTACAAGTGAGCGTGCCCACATTCTCGGCCAGGTACTTAGCCCCTCATGTGAGCCCTTCTTGGACCAAAGGCATCATCAAGAGGTAAGAAGTGCAATTCCATAGGTACCTTGTTGTTAAGTCCCTCAAGTCGGTTCCGACTCATAGCGACCCTGTATACAGTGTCCAGGAGCAGCTGTTGAATTTGAAACGTGTACAGCCCCTCAAGCACGGATGTACCCCTTACTCCATTCCTCAGAAATGATCACCAGGAGAGGGTGTGGCCACTTGCCCCTAGCCTTCAAAATATTCACCAGCCACCATTTCCTTTGCCACCTGATGGGGAGGGGTCTTGTTTCTATGTCTTTGACCCATTCACACTCCAGCAATCCTCACAGTCACCCTCTGGCCTCCCAGCCCATCAATTCTGGGGGCTGGGAAGGTGTTAGTTGGGAGACAGTCTGGCAGCCTCATCCACTACCTCCTAGACTTTGGATCCCAGGGGATCCTTCAGTGACCTCATTGTTCTGTCCCTGACCTTCCCCCCACTCCCTACCTAGCTTCTAGAAGCTGGGAAGGGGACAGGAAATGCACAAGTAATTATAGCCTGAGAGGGAAGAAGGGAGGGAGGGTTCCAGGCTGCTGGTTCCAAGCAGTAGTTACTACCAGTGACCCAGAGAGCCCTAGTGGGAGGGGACGAAGCCGCTAAACCCAGAAGGGACCAGCTCCCCTGATCTCTGCCCGACCCAGGTTCAAGAGGACTAGGGAGACTCAGGCAAGGGGGAGCTGGCAGAGGAGTCAGGGACTGACACTTAGATTCTCTTCTCAATCGCAACTGCTTGGTGGACTTCTCCGTCTTGTTGCTGTTAAGTGCTGTGGAGTTGGTTCTGACCCATAGCAACACTGTATAGGGTTTGAACCGCCAACCTTGCAGTCCAGCGCATTAACCCACAGTGCCACACCAGGACTCCTTGCCATCTTGCAGACCTCAGTTTTTTTCTCAACTCAGTCTCACATTTTGGTAGCCAGAAATGGGGGTTGGACCAGGTAGGAGGAAGGATGGAGAAGGTGGTGATTACTCAAAGGGACTTATTGACAAGAGCAACAAATGCTTTCCAATGTTTGGTATCCACTCCTGCTTTTCTTCCAGCCCTTTACCCAAGCACCCTCTCTCTCATCTCTCCCCTGACCTCCCTAGCCTCCACCACCCATGGTGGGCACACACACAGTAGACACATAACTGAATCTCAGATGAGGTTACTCTAAGTCTGGGGGCTTGAGGAGAGAAGAATCCATGCCAAGCTTCACTGCTGACTTGGATCCTACAGTAACTATCCTGTCTCCCATCCCCACACCCCCACCATTCTTTCCTACCTCACCTTTCTTTCTGCCTCCTGCTCTCTTCTTCAAACTTCGAACCCTAATTCCAGAAATTCTGTTCACTGGCAAAGGGAGCTCTAGTCATCTCAGGTTCTTCAAACTTTTCCAGAATCCTGCCCTGAACCCCCAAAGACTAATGTCAAGCAGTGTCCACATGACCACTTCACCCCAAGATCAAAGCAGAATCTGTCAAGTTCAGTGGCTCACTGAAAGAGAATGTTGCCACGGCAACATAGCAAGAACAGCAACAAATCTAACATCATCAGTCCTTCCACTTGACCTGGTCCCCAGCAATTCACATCTCCCTCCCAACTCCCACCTGGAAGAACACACAATCACCTAACTCCATGCCTGGCACACAGAAATGATGGATAAAATGCAAATCCCTTTCCTACCCCTACCCTGGACCAAGCCCAGATGGAGGCAATTGGGCACCTCTTTGCACCCAGACACACATGTTGCAGCTGCGTGAGCCATCTACACACACACACACACACACACACACACACACACACACACGACAACCACTGTCCACCCCTCTAAGCTCCCAGACAAAGTCCAAGCCTCCTGTGGTATGCCAGTGTTCCCAAGCCAGGCTCCCTCCTGCCACAGGGACCAGGCAGGAGATGGGCACTCACCCAGCGAAGCCCCTGAATGCGGCTGGGGCGCTGGTGCTCAAGCAGCAGCTGGTAGGAGCAGCTTCTGGGCCGGTGCATTCTCCTCAGCACCATGTTGAGCAGCGTCCCCTCAGACACCACCTCAGGGAGGCCCCCCACAAGTGAAGTTCGCAGAGCAGGGCTCTCCTCCACAGCCAGGCCCACCTGCCAGCGGCTCTCACCTGGCCAGCCCACCTGTGACTCCAGAAAGAAGGCAGACAGTCATGGGGCAGGGGCTGGACAGTTGGGCCAGCACACAACTGCCCCCGGCAGAACCACTTCTTTCCACTGATCTGGGCTAGTCAGGCGGAGGTGCCGTCGAGCCCTGCCAGGAGCCGGGGGAGGGACAGGAAGACCTCTACTAGGCTTGCTGCTCTGGAGCCCTTTGGGGACTCCGCTGGCTCAGCAGAGAAGAGTGTGCCCTTCTTCCCAGTTCTCGTTGGAATTCAGTCCTGCCCCACTGCCCATGTTCCCGCATGAAGCTCCGCCACTGGATCCACCAAAATGCAGCTTCGGCTCAAACCCTTATCTCTTCCCCTGACCCCTGATGACCCCTCTCTCTCCCACCCAAACTCCCCACCCGGTCAGTTTCCTCTCCCGCCCTGGCGCCTCCTAAACCCTGACCCCACCTTACCCACCTTCATGTTCCTTCTCAAGCTCACACAGCCTTATGGGTTCTAGCACAAAGCCGGGACCCCCTGTCAGCTCCAACAGGAGGATCTTCGAGGAGCCCCGGCAGCAAGTCCCCGGCACAGTATACAGAAGCAGGCCAGCGAGATGCAGGGCTGGGTGAGGAGGTTCCTCTCGGGTGGGTAGAGGGCTAGGAGTGACAGGGGGGGGCAAGGCCCCCCCACCCAAGCTACCGGCAACCCCGAGCCTCCGCCTCCGTCCCAAACGAAAGAGCCAGCTGGCACCGGGCACTGAAGCGAGGCTGCAGCTGGCACCCGGCCGGGCGGGAGCTGTCACACCTCCAGCACCGCCCGCCTCCGGCCCCGCCCACGGGCAGGAGGAGGGGGCGGGGAGGAGCCGCCCGCCTCTCGGTAGGAGCCGCCAGGGGAAAGGGGCGGGCCCCGGCAGTGGGTGGAGTCCGGATCCTGGGGTCTGCTGGGGGCACTAGCCGAAGCCGGGAGAGACCCCAGAGGGCGGTAGCAGCTCAAGACTCGGGGTGCGGGCTGTAAGTGTCCGCACCGGCCGCCACGTGGCCAGGAGGAGAAATGCAAACAAGGAAACAGGGAGAAGGGGGGAGGGGGGTGAGTCATTGCAGCCCCACCCGGGAGGGAAATCCGGGCTGGGGCCGCTTCCCGGCCGGGGGCGTCCTACAGACTGTTTCGGTTCTGGGTCGCAAACTGCTTTGAGGGGTGGGAGGGATTGGGCGGCTTCTGCGTGTGGAATCCCGCTAGCGATCTTGTTCCCCTGGTGCCCTCAGAAACACAACCCTCAAACTCACACCGGCTGCAGGTGGGGAAACTGAGGCTGGAGAAGGGAGGGTGGAGGCCGGAGCTGTGGCCCTGGGAGGCGGCCTGAGTTGTGACTGGACTTGGAGACTAGAAGGGGGATTTAGAGGCCCCCCCCACACACACTGGAATTACAAGGTCCTCTGCAGGCTTTGTAGGGGGGTCCCTCACTTCTCTAGACCTCAGTTAACATCACTGTGAAGGTGGCCTAACGCCGCCCGGTTGGCTTCACTTTTGCTTCTAAGAAGGCAAGCAGATAGTGACCACATGACAGCAACTCCCGCTGTTGTCGTTTGGTGTTGTCCACGCAGCTCCGACGCCCAGCCACCCACGTACAACAGAACGGGGAGCGTTTGCGAGGAGGCGCACACCCGGCCCCTGCTTTCTAGGACTCACTCCCCTTTTGCCCCTGTCTGTTCCTTTCCCTAGGGCAATTGAGCCTGACGGAATTAGGACGACACCCATTCTAACAAGCCTATCCCCAGCCCTTGGACTCAGGCCCCCATTCTCCATCAATGATTAGTTTCTTGGAGTGGGAAGATGGATTTTAATTATGATTAAAATCCCAATTTTAACGTGTACAAAAACCTTCTCAAAATACAAATTTTACTTCTACTCCTCCAAATTCAGATTCAAATTGATTCATCTGATATAGAAAGTCTGTTTGGGGGGCAAATACCCCCAGGTTATATCTGTAAGAACACTTTGAGAACCACTGGTCATTGTTCAAATGGATCCCTCCAGGGAAAGGGTGGAGCTTGAGAATGAATCTACCCCAGAGCCTAAGATTACCCTCCCAAAATCAGGGAATTTGGAAGAAGGAAGAACAGCCAATACTAGTGGGAATTATGACAAGTGGGGGTGGGGGGTCATTACACACACGGGGAGGAAAGTTAAGGGGCAGTCAGGGCTGAGGGCTAGAGGAATGCATTGAATTTATGGGCTGCCAGGAGACCAGTGACCTGCCCTAAAAAAATTTCCAGGGGAATTTTCCAGAGATTGGCCATGAGGGCAAAAAGCAGTCCCTTATTTTCTATTCACACTGCCCTTACTTGGAGCAGATGGGAAAGTAGACAGGGAGTGATTCAGGACATCTGCTTACCTGTAGTCGTCTCAGCAGAATCACAATAGATGACCATGTACTGCTCCAAATGCTTTCATGTGTAATCTCTACCAATGGAAAAGAGGAAGACCCTTAACGAGATGGACTGACACATGACTGTGAAAATGGGCTCAGACAGCAATTATTGTGAGGATAGCGAAGGACTAAGCAGTTTTTGGTTATGTTGTATAAAAGGTCACTATGAATTGGAACTGACTCAACACACCTAACAATAATGGCTGTTGTTAGGTGCTGACAAGTCAACTTGGACTCATAGCAACCCCATGTACAACAGAGGGCAACACTGCCAAGTCCTGCACCATCCTCAACATTGTAATGTTTTAGTGCACTGATGCCGCCACTCTACCAATCTGTCTCACTGAGGGGCTTCTTCTTTTTCAATGATCTTCTACTTTATCAAGCATGATGTCCTTTTCCAGGGACCAGTTCCTTCTAATAACATGTCCAAAGTACATGAGATGAAGTCTCACAATCCTCCTTTCTAAGGAGGATTCTAGCTGTACTTCTTCCAACACAGATTTGTTTGTTCTTCTGGCAGTTCATGGTATTTCCAATATTCTCCTCCAAAACCATAATTTAAATGGTTTGATTCTTCTACAGTTTTCCTTATTCATTATCCAGCTTTCCCAGGATTATGAGGCAATTGAAAATATCCTAGCTTGGGTCAGGCCCACCTTAGTCCTCAAAGTGATATGTTTACTCTTTAACACTTAAAAGAGATCTTTCACAGAATATTTTCCTAATGTAATATGTTTTTGATATCTTGACTGCTGATTGCATGAATGTTGACTGTAGATCCAACTAAAATAAAGTTGTTGCCAACTTCAATATTTTCTTCACTGATCATAATGTTATTTATTGCTTCCGTTGTGAGGATTTTCATTTTCTTTACACTCAGGTGTAATCCATACCAAAGGCTGTATTTGTTGATCTTCATCACTAAGTGTCTCAAATCCTCTTGACTGTCGGCAAGCAAGATTGTGTCATATGCAGATGGCAGGTGACTAATGAGTCTTCCTACAATCTTATGAAGATCAAAGAGCACTGCCTTCCTTATGGATTGCATCTCAATGTAAAGAAAACAAAAGTCCTCACCACTGGGCCAATAAACAACATTCTTATCAATGGAGAAAAGATTGACTTTGTCAAGGACTTCATTCTTCTTGGATCAACTATCAACACTTGTAGAAGCAGCAGTCAGGAAATCAAACAGCATATTGCATTGGGCAAATTTGCTGCACAAGATCTTTTTTAAATGCTGAAGAGCAAAGATGTCAGCTTGAGGACTAAGTTGTACCTGACCCAAGCCATGGTATTTTCAATAACCTCATATGCATGTGAAAGCTGGACAGTGAATAAGGAAGACCATAGAAGAATTGATGCTTTTGAGT